GAACACAAATTGGTTTGCATAAATCAGTTAAATGACGAACATTAGGTGTCTATTTACTTGTGATCACTCAGTGTACATCCCTGGAGTTTCATTCGTAGGAGATTCAAACACAGTACGAGAACAGAGGAAATGATATGCGTTTTCATTGCCAGATCTTCACACAGTTTGGCTGTTCATGCTATGTCATCATCCTTGGTATTACACACCCAACACTACAAACACAAAATAAAAGAAAACAAGAAACTTTGGAGAGGAAAAAATTGTCACTTCGTAATTCTTCCTAGTGGAAATCACATAATAGCTTCTGTGGACGTAAATATCGATATGCGCCAACTAAACTGGACACTCTGGAAATTATGGGGCTAGTGGGTGGATACTAGAGATCTACTAGGAGTATAACATTATGTCCAAACATGCTTCTATGTTGTGTGGTATACCGTCATTACATATGAGAAGTTACTATGCCAGTCAATTTTGTCAGAGCTCACAAATTTACAAGACATATGCTTTACAGTTTGTACAAGCTGGTCAACAAAAATTCAGACTGAAGCTGATGAGGTTAAGCATAACCATTCAACGCCTTACACAACTTGGTAAAAAAATGACTGTTGAAATTTACACTTTGATCAGCGTGTATCTCCTTTGATGCTTGGAAGCAAGCTATCCACTGCTCGAACAATATGTTGTTGACTGTTCCACCCAGCATATCGGTCAGTGAACATGCTTCAGTTCACTTTTGTAAAGTAATCAACCACTACTTAGACGTAACAAGCATCGTGATATACGTGATATCTAAGGCTATTCTCTGACATGAAGAACCTAAAACTTACAAACTTTTCCTGGTGTAGACGATTCTTTCTCTGAGCTGCAAAGGAAATACAATGTTTACTCCGTTGCTCTAGATCTGTGCAGTAACGTAGTCAGTAAAACTATCTTCACATGTGGGTTGTAGCGGGAGACACTCCAGGGTCTTCTGTAATACTTATGCCGTATATTTTTCAGAATATCTCAGACTTGAGAACTCTCAAGACCACGAGCTGCATCACAGGTCAGCATCTGTGCAAAGTGTAGTGATGATAGTATAGCATACCCTCCCATACCTCTAACTGATAAAACAATTACCAGAAGTTACGTGCTTCTGTGTTACATTCACCAAACTGTGACGGTCAGGCTTCATCTTGCTTCACAGCAAATAGTGTCCAGATCCTTTAGCTGCTCTTTTCGAATTCTGTATTTTCTTTTGTTGTATATGATATCCATTCAACAACAAAATCTTCACTAAATGCATAATTTGTTGTCGCGCTTATATTCCAGATTTTAGTTTATTTTCAGTTTTTAGTCTTACAATGCTAAAATACGAGGCTTGATTCTCCGCAGTTGGCACAATAGATAGCATAATGTAGTTTTACTCTAAAAACAAACAAGCAAACAAACTAACAACTCACCGGTTTTGTGCAGTGAAATCAGATCTTTTACTTCTTTAAGTTCATTTATCACTTCAGCAATGCGTAATCTATTCAAGTAATAACTCCTTGATCATACAAATAGTGACGAAATTATTTAACATATATTAGAATTGTGTTTCGTTTCTGTCAAACAGTAATGGTATTAGACAAATAGTCGCATGTGACTCAGATATCCTTTTACATGCTGCACATTATGCACAATGAATGTAACATCTTCCCTAGAATAAGCCAGCATCAATCAAGACACATTTTAGCGACTGAATTGGATTCTACTTTAGTTAATGCCAAAAATGGTGCTGCTTTTGTTGAAAAAAAGTGGCAACAAAACATCAATAATGTTACAAAAGTCAAGAAAACTTCTGACCTCCTTCTTGTTTCCAAGTTTAGGCCAGTCAAAAATTACTTGTATTTTAGCAGGAACCACAGACACTCTACCCCCACTCATTATTTATTTTTGACTCCACATGAGATAACATTTTTCTTCCTTCAATTTCAGACTGTTTGTATGTTGTTAAACAGAAAGCTACACAATGGACTATTTGTGTTGTGCTCACCACAAGTATAGAATGCAGATTTTTAGCTAGTAAATGTATCAGTGAATTCCATTAGTAACCTCCCGATCTTTCACTACTGGCATAAATTTAACTTATCTGTACAATGTTTGATGAGTATTCTCAGGTGTACTGCATCCATATATTTGTTTGCCAATGTGGTGTAGCCAACGTAACACTAACTACACTATTAAGTTCAGTTACTTCTTCTCCCATTCAACATTCTAGTTATTTTTCAGCTGATATTTATATAACAATTACACGACATAAGTTGAATATATATTTCTCTCAGGGAGGTAACTGTTAGTGCAAATTCAGTTTAGTGTTTAGCAGAGAAAAAAAACCGTATTCCAAATATCAATTTAACCACAGCATTAACATGAAACATAAAACACTACTAGTGTGTTAAACAGAATTTTGAAAATGTAGTGGTGACCATTGTTTTTGTCCTTATTTTGGTTAAAATGTTGTAGTTTCATCATAGACTATACTATCAGATAACTTGTGTAGAACATCCAAAACTAAAATGGTGGTACTTCGATCGAGATTTGCTTCTATTACTATTGCACATCTAGAGATGGCAACATGTGGTAAAGAGTCATGATTCTCCAGTTACTGTAAGCCACTCACCATCTGTGAATAAAACAAAAACTATAGTTACTGGCTGAAGTGACATTTTACACGATAGAGATTGATGTACCAAGATATCAAGTAGAGTTTTACCGGTACGTGTATTAACTGCAAAAATATCTCTCGTCTGTGTAATTTCAGAGGCACATTAAAAGATATACTCGGCGCTGTAGGCATCGTACTAATCAACATATCCGAAGAAACAGATATATTCTGTTCCTCACAGATTGGAACTCAGTTCCGATCCAGGACTCGGTGGTTAAACATAACATTACATAATGTTTTGGAACAAGATGGGACCTATTGCTCCATCTCGGCTGTTCCATCCTCTAAACTAAATTAAAATAATTATAAAAAATCTTAAAGCCAGCTTTTATCATTCATATGCTTGTCAAGCTTTTTCTTAAACTCACTTAAATTTACTGCCTCTACAATATCTGAAGGCAACCCACTCCAAAGGCCAACCACTCTGTTAGAAAAATGCAACTGTCTTAGCTGAAGATGACTCCTACCCTGCCAAAATTTATAATTTGTGTCCCTCAGTTCTACTATTCTCACTGTTAAGTACCAAAAAAAGAAAAAAGATGATGCATCAACACTATCAATTCCCTTTACAAGCTTAAACACCTCAATCAGATCACCCCAACTCTTCTTTTTTTCAATAGAAAACAATTTGAGAAATTTTAGCATCTCCTCATATGACAACCCCTCCATCTCATGCACCATTCTATTAGGTCGTCGAGAAATTAATGTCGGTCTTTTTTTTAGATGAAAAAACTGAACAACTTGTATATCAAAACAAAACATTGATTAAATGAAATAGTCTCCATTCTTATCGATG